CATTGAAGGGAGGAGTAGCGTGCGTGGGGTGTGTGTGTGGAAGGGGAGGATTGCCCATAGTTGTTGAGCTTTCTCTGGGAAGGAATGACCAGGGTTGTGGATAAGGATCCCCCGGGGATGTCTGGTATACAGGAAGTCTGCAGCGCAATAGGAGAGCATCTGCTGTCCATGCAGAAAGTTCAAGCTCCAAATGGTTAGAATTCCTACTCCATGATTTCAGTCATGGGATTTTTGTCTATCACATGACGGTGTATGTTTTGACTCCACAGAGTGGGAAGTGATGGAGACACGATGTTTGTGTTACTGTGTTCTGTGAAGTGGGACTATTGTCCATTGTTCTTTTCATCTTTGCTGTCTGATGCTAGAGAGAGGGGGAGCCATGTTGCAGTGCTCCGTGTGTGTTTATATGTAAATAAAGTAGATTAGCCAAAATGCTGAGTTGCTGAGGTCTGTTATGCGAACTGCGAAGACTCTGCGGATCCCTAATTGTGCCAATGTCTGTTGGCATCGGTCGCTGTGATGTTCGGGCTGAAGAAGGCTTTTGAAGCTCCCGAACGATCGACCAGGAGGGAGAGAGCATGCCAGTTGGGCATGTGTCTCTACCAGGGTCCTACTTGAGTGTAGGATGAGCTCCTGACACAAATATCTCTAGGCAGGGCTGGGAATGTCCCCTGCCTGCAATCCCAGGAAGACTATGCCAGACAGCTGGACCTACAATTGGCTGGACCAATGATCTGGCTCAGTATAAGACAAATTCCTACGCTCCTGAGAACTGGAAGCCAGAGAGGCTTGCTCCTGTTGGAAGCTATCAAAAAGGAAGCTCCTAGAGAAATAAACATTTACTGATGCTTTCCACTTTCTGGCTCAAAATGGGAGCATTTCCCTCTTTCAGTATGTGTTTGTGTGTAGCCAAGAAGAGCCCGGCTGGATCAGACCAAAGTTCACTTAGTCCAGCATCCTCTTTTCTGACATAGACCAACCAGATGTCTCTAGAAAGGTGACAAGCAGGGGCAAGAAAACAACAGTCCTTGTGCGCAGGTGCCTTGCCTATTTTTGTATCAAGCCACATTTGTTTGGTAGGTGTGTGCTTCTCCCACAATTCTCTTCTCTATCTTTCTCTTTCATAGGGCTTTGTTGTCGCTCTCCTGTACTGTTTCTTAAATGGAGAGGTAAGTGGAAATGAGAAAGTGCTGGTTTTTTGACCTATAAAGACTTATGCAGCTCAGGACTCCAGTACCAGGGGCGTAGGAAGGGGTGTGTGGTCAGGGCGGTCAGCCCCAGGTGTCATCTCGCGCGGGGGGTGACAAAATCCCGCCGGGCGGATCATGCTGCTGTGCTGCAATTGGACCGCTGCCGGGAGGATCACACCACTGCGCCGATTGCCCCGCCCCTTGGGTGGATCGTTCCCACCCCCAGATGCATGGCATGTGCACCACTCCGGGTACCCGAGCAGCTAACTCTGCCACTGCCCAGTACCTGAAGGACCATCTCCCCCCCCCCCCAGTGAATGTACCAGACCTGGCAATCATCACCTGAGGCCCTTCTCCATGTGCCCCCTGTTCAGAAGGTCCGGAAGGTGGCAACACAAGAAGAGGGCCTCTTCAGTGGTGACTCCTTGCTTGGCACATTGTGCTGATCCCGAGGGTTAACCATGCGGCAAGGTCCGAGTCCAGTCCGAGGTTGAGGGTGCGGTATAGAGGCTGTCTGTCAAAGCTGAAGCGGGGTCCAAGGCAGGGAGTCGTGTGAGGTCAGGAACTCTGGCAGGAGAGCAGGACAGGGTGCAAGCAGAAACAGGCTAGCAACAACGTTGCTCCCGCAACCTGGGACTGGGGCTGGCTGGCTTTTATCCGCCCCGAGGCATAGGGCGGCCCCGATCCTCTGGTGACTCGCCTCTCCTGGCCTGGAGGCAAGCACTCCTCCTGTGGGAACATAGTTCCCCCCGCCTCTCTGCCCTGAGCCTCTGCAGCTCAGGAGAGGCTGGAGGGTTACCAGACCCAGAGGCAACCTCCTCTTCCCCTGACGGGGCTGAGAGGAGAGCACCTGCAGGCAATGGGTCCTCCATCACCTCAGGAGCTAGAGCAGACTCAGCTGATGCCTGCACCTGAGGATCCAACACAGGTGAGGACCCTTCAGGCTCAAGCCCCAGCCCCAGCTCAGCTGGTTCTGGAGGCGGGGAATCCTGTGCAGGCTGGGATTCCTCAGGTTCAGCCTCCGAGTCCGAATCCCAGGCCATCACACACATGCTCTTCCTGGAGAGGCTTACCTGGCACCGTCATTACCTAGCTTTAGGTGCCAGGCACCTGCATGTTTCTCTCACCCCACCCCCAGGCCTTTGGCTCTTAACTGCCTCCTTCAGTGGTTGGGATGCTTTAACTCAGGTTTTTAGAAATAAAAATAGGGTTTAGGTTTTTATTTATTTTCTTTAATGCTGGTTTTAATGCATGTGTTTGTTTGTTTGTTTGTTTGTTTGTTTGTTTGTTTGTTTGTGTATTGTAAGTCACTTAAGTTACCTGGGTCAGAAAGTGGCCAACACATGGAATAAGTAAACAAATAAATCAAATAAGATAGAACAGAACCCTCTTTATGCATGCAACCACAACGGTGAGGGTTTTAATAGCAAAAAAACTGGAAAGGTGATGTAATCCCCATAAAGACCGATTGGCAAGCAAAGATGATAGAATATTCAGAACTTGCAAGGATGACTGGGAGAATAAGAGGAGATTCTAACCAGAAATTTAGTAAAGATTGGACAATGTTCAAAGAATATCTTAAAAAGTACTGTAATAGCACAAATCTCTCGACAGATTTGGATTGAATCTTGAAGTTTAAGGAAATTATAAAGTTAAAACTTTCCCCTGATAATTAACTGAAAAGAATAATAAAAATGAAGTGCGTATAGAGTAGAAAGGTATAAAAAGCACAATGAGGTGAATTGGAAGTTAAGGGGTAATGAGGGACGTGGGTGGTGCTGTGGTCGAAACCACAGAGCCTAGGGCTTGCCGATCAGAAGGTCGGCACTTCGAATCCCCGTTGCGAATCTCCCGTTGCTTGGTCCCAGCTCCTGCCAACCTAGCAGTTTGAAAGCACGTCAAAGTGCAAGTTGGATAACTCCATACCCTCAACATTTCTCCAATGAAAATAATAATAATAGTAATAATAATAATAATAATAATAATAATAATAATAATAATAATAATTTATTTATACCCCGCCCTCCCCGGCCAAGACCGGACTCAGGGCAGCTAACACTGAATATAAATACAGTAAAAACATTAAAACAAAACGAAAAAACCAACCAGTTGATTAAAATATGTTAGAGTACAGTTTAAAATGCAGCTTAAACAGGGACATCCTTAGGAAAAGTGGGACATTCCAATATCAAATCAGAAACCAAAATAGCTTCTCTTGATCAGGGATGTCCCTTGAAAATAGGGACACTTCGAGGGTCTGAAGTTAGAGGCTGTGTTTTGACTCTGTCCCAGCTGTAAGCCTCCATTTCCTTTCCTGCTCTTGCTTCCTCCATCTTAGGTCCAGGCCGAGTTCAAGAAATGCCTCCGGAAGTGGCACTACCGACATTACCTCAGCTTTGCCCGGGTGCACCGGAGCCTCTCCAGAGATAACAGCCCTGTTAATTATGTCACACAGTTATCTATGCTGGACAGAATCAGTCCCAAGAGGGGTGCCTGTCAGAATGGCCTGTCCTCCGTCTGAAGATGTTCCTCACTTTCATGACCTCCAGGGTTTGGGGGGGAGATACCCAGCCTTCTTGTTCCAGCAGAAGTGGCAGCTGTATCAGAAGACTTCCACCCTACAAGTGCCCTATGGGACCTTCAAGCCTTCAGACAGAAATTGCTAAGTCAGGGTCAGGTTGGTTGGCTGTTGTGATGTGGGTACCTCAGACCACCCATCCTTTGCAGGAGGGTTTGTGCAATTAAAGTATATTGAAGGGCTCTCTGCTGTTTGAGTACAACAAAGCCACTAAAATAAAAATAAAAATGGATGCTTTGCAGTTAGGAAAGTGACAGGGAACTCCATGAATAATGCATGGGAATGTGGAGGGGTTAGGGGGTTGTGGGGATGTGGGTGAAGACGAAAGCAGGGGCCTGCAAGTACCTGCAGAATAAGAGAAGATGTTTTCATAATTCTCCAGAAGGTGAAAAGGGTGCTTAGCAGCAATGTGCAAAAGGAGGAAGGGGCAGGAGATCCCCACAGGGGGTGGTCTGTGTGTAAGGAAGCTTTCACAAAAGGATGAGGGTGGATTTGAGGTTGTAGGTGAAGACAGGGGTGAAGTGGGGGTACAGAGTAGAAAAGAGAAGTGGCTCCAGAAATACCGTTGGGGAAGTGAAAATCAAGCTTCGTTGTTTCCACGGGGTGGGAAGGGGACGCTCAAGGGGAAGGGGAAAGTAGGGGAAATGGCAAGCAGAATAAGCAGGGACAAAACCCCCTAGTATCAAATAAATATGCTGATATCAGAAATGCAGTCTGGCCATGTGATTGCGTGTGTTGCTTTAAATAAAAAACCCAGAAACATGGCAGATGAAGATGATGGATTTTTCGGAGCTAGCCAACCTGACTGGAAGAATCCGCGACCAGAAGGAGGAGGAGTATCAGGAAGAATGAATGAAATTTAAAGACTATTTAGTTAAATATATTTAGTTAATTTAATTGGAAAAGCTTGTAAATACCAGATAGGCTTAGGATTTTAATATGTAATGTGATGAATTAATATGTAGTAATGCTGAACTGAAAAGAAAGAAAGATGTTAAGTGAATAAGTTAACTTTATAAAAATATTGGTTTTGGGAAACTGTTAAAATGATATACATTGAAATACAACAAGGGGGATACGAGGAAGTCACTTAACAATGTTACTAACTTTGTTTTAAATATAGTGGAGATTTATGTTTGTTTGTTCATTTGTCTGTTTGTTTGTTTGTTTGAATTTTTTTTTGGAAAAACCAATAATTTTTTTGGGAAAAAACAACAACAACAACCCAGAAACAAGTCACAACAAATCTTTTATTGTTATTATTACATTTTGCTTTTAATAACATATATTCTCAAACTCCAAAATATATCTCACAGTGGGGGCAGGGGGCGGGGCATAGCGCTGTTGAAATGCGAAAAAGATCTTGTTTATTTACATCGCCTTGAGAAGCAGTTCTGCCTCCGGGTTTCTACTGCTCCGAAGGTTTACAAAGGGAAACGGTCACCTCAAACAGTGCCCTGCCCGCCCATTCGCCATGTTCATTTTTAAAATTATTGATATTATTATTTTTTACATTCAGCATAAGGAGAACGCTTGAGCAGAGGCCCCATTAGAAACAATGACATTGCTGGCATAACTCTTGGCTCTGGGTACACCTTCAGCATGAGCTCCCCAAAAATGGTTCATGGGAATCCCAAACGTATCAGAGGGCACAATCCTGAGCACTTCAGAAGTAACAGGTGAGGCTTACCCTCAAGCAAGTGTGCACAGGGTCACAAAACGAGTCAGCTCTTTAAGGACACCATTGTAGGAAGTGGGGGCTTGTAGCACAGGGGAGGAATTTAATATACACATAGAGAACCAGTTCTTGAAGAACTTTTGGCACTGGTGAAAGGCATTAGATGGATGGCACTAGAAACTGAAGTTTCCACATTTTCTATTAAACAGGAAATGTTGAGAACTCCAGTTTAGTGATCCATTATTGTCAACCCCTAGATTCTGGATGCTTCAGCATCAAAGGAGGAATCCCAAGACATCAAGGATCTTAGATGATCCTGACTGCACATCATCTATGAAAGCAGACATTGGCCTGGCTCACACATAGACCACTCAACCATGGTTTATTAAACAATGAGTTATTAGTGTTATGTGTGATTCCTGCCCAGTTGCTTAACTATTATTTGTTTCCTGCCAACAAAACACAATCTGAGGCCATGGTTTGCTGTTGTCTAACAAGCCTAGTTTGTTTTAAACTATTGCTTGGCCTTATGTTAGAATCCAGCACCATTCCTTAACCATGTTTTGGAACCAGATACTCTTCAGAGTGCAAAGGTGAGGCAACAGCAGCTGGAAAACAGGAGAAACGAGCCACGGTTTGTTGGGTTGACTGTTTCACAACTCTTGGCAAACTCATGGTTTGTTAAGCAAACCTTGACTTAAACCAACCATGTCTTAGCATTACGTGTGTACCAGGTATCAGAGGAAGCCTTCTTGCAAATACCTCTTTCTTGAGAATAAGTCACCCCTATGCAGAAGATGCACTTTTCTCTATCCCTCACTTCTAAAAGTGCTTCCCAGCTGACACTGTCATCTCCCAGTGACTTCTCCCCAGAAGCCCTCTCAGCTCTGGACTTTAGCATTACAGTGGTACCTCGGGTTACATATGCTTCAGGTTACATACGCTTCAGGTTACAGACCTTGCTAACCCAGAAATAGTGCTTCAGGTTAAGAACCTTGCTTCAGGATGAGAACAGAAATCGTGCTCCAGCGGCGCAGCAGCAGCAAGAGGCCCCATTAGCTAAAGTGGTTCTTCAGGTTAAGAACAGTTTCAGGTTAAGAATGGACCTCCGGAACAAATTAAGTACTTAACCCGAGGTACCACTGTACTATTTATCATGTATGCAATACCATCAAAACAGATGGTGCTTTCCCAGAAATTCTTTTTCCTTTGGAGATTCAGCTAAGCCTGAGCTTAAGCATCTTCTAGAATTGATCCAACATTTTTATTTTGTTAATAGGGCCACTCATTCATTAATATGGGGAGGGGGAGAGAAGTAAAAGGGGTGACCTTGGGGTAGGGTGACCTCAACCACTAAGAATCCACCCTGCTTCAATATACAAAGCCCCATCCCTCAATCTCCAAAACACATGGTGTCTTCCAATTTATTGACTATTTGGTCACTCTTGATGTTGAACTGGAACTGCCAGCACACTGCTGTGGTCCTCCTGTCTGGCTGCAAAAATTGGGGTGACAATTTCATTGAGGTCACAGGAGAAATCCTGCCAACTTTGACTGGATCAGGGACTGGGAAGAGTGGCGATGGCAACCTCTCCTGTCCTTTCACTCAACTGAATTGTTCCACCATCACAAGCGGTGGAAGACCTGCACAATGGGAGAGGTCAGCAGGACATGGGCTTGCCTGACCTCCCATCCCTGGCGTTCCTGTGGCTAACTGGAATCATTCAGGACAAGGCCTTGCATTTCATCTTTTCCCTTCAAAACACAAACAAATGGGCTGCCCTGGAAGCAGCTCCTTCCTTGGTGTAGTTCAGCTTGACACTCAAGAGTGTTCTCCACTGGGGCACCAAAGGAGCTTTGCCTGTTTGGTGCTGGTGGGGCTTTTGTTTTGGCAATTTGCTCCGGTGATGCCAAGGGAGTCTTGACAATGTCTTCCTGCCAGCCTGGCTACTAGTTACTGCTGCTGTTGACACAGATGTTTGGAATCCAGTAGGACTCCCTCCAACAACTGAGAAAGCTAGAGAGGATAATGAAGAAGAGTTTGGATTTGATATCCTGCTTTAGCACTACCCGAAGGAGTCTCAAAGCAGCTAACAATCTCCTTCCACTTCCTCCTCCACAACAAATGCTCTGTGAAGTGCGTGGGGCTGAGAGACTTCAAAGAAGTGTGACTAGCCCAAGGTCACCCAGCAGCTACATGTGGAGGAGCGGAGACGCGAACCCGGATCACCAGATAACGAGTCCACCACTCTTAACCACTACACCACACTGGATGGATGTGTAGGTCCCCCCATTAGCTCCTCCTATGAAGTAGACAGACCAGACTTGCCAAGCAGTAGCCCCTTGTTGCAGGCAGGGCTAAGGTCCACCACAAGTATCCCTAGGCAGCTGCTGGGCCCCAGTAACCAGAGATGGTGCTTCACGGATATGCCTCCTCTGTTTCTACAGTATTTTAAGATCATAAGAAGAGCCTGCCAGATCAGGCCAAAGGTCCATCTAGCCCAGCATCCTGTTCTCACAGTGGCTGGCTAAGTGCCTGCAGGAAACCCGCAAGCAGGATTCAAGCACAAAAGCCCTCTCTTGTCTCCTGTGGCTCCCAGCAACTGGTATTCATAAGCACTGGTGCCTCCAACATGACCCTCTGAGCAACACCAGTCAGCTAGGTTTAAATTTCCCACAATGCCACCAACATAGCGTCACACTCAGACATCGTGGGGAATTTCATTGGTGGCTTGATCCAACCACCCAGTGCAGCTCAGAGCCTCCGAATGGCTGTGACCCACTTCTGCCACCAAGTACATCCACTCAGGCATGCCACTGGTGGAAAAGGCCTACTGGAGGGGATGTTCTCTAGGGCACCTTCAATAAATGGTGCCAGCTTGGGCTGAAGGGGAAATCAGATCATCACTACTGCTGCCTGGGGGTGAATTTGTCTCCTGCTGTCAACTCTTCAGCTGTCTATCTTCTCTAGTTGCCCCTAGGGATGGATGGTAAATTTCATTTCCTACCAGTTCCTCATTTTTCTGATCTTAAATATAGTTTGCTCCATTTCCATATCAGAATATGAAACTTCATAAACATTTTTTTTGCACCCATTTCTCCTCAAGTACAGATAGTTATAGAAATTCCAGCCTATTACATGAATTGCAGTTTTCCATTAGCTGAATTCATTTTCGTATGCTATTGTCACTATCATAGTTTTGCATGCTCTTTTGACTGATATACACCCAATTGTGCACATTGGTTGCAACACAAAATTGAGAGAAGTGATCATTTCGAAAGTGTCTTTGTTCATGGCCCGGTGTGGGAAAAACAAATCTGGTAAGTTTGCATTCAAAGATATAGAAAAATGAGTCTCGGGTGTCAAAAGTCAGGGCAAAGAGATGTATCTGACATCTTAATTATACAGCTTTTGATGAATGCTGAAGATGCACCAAACTTTTGACACCTGAGGTGCATATTCTTAGGACACCCTTTTTTTTTGCAAATTTAAGTTTTTCACAAATGTTGGTGACATTGTGTTTTAATTGTTGCAGCTTACCCTGGGACCTTAGAGTGAAGAGGTGGGCAATAAATTTAAATGGTATTCATATCCATAACATGCAGACGAAGACATTTCTTCCTAAACCTTCCCTTTCAGTTGATAAGAAAGATTGCCAGCTTAAGAGTCAACACCAGAAGATAACCAGCTTACATTCAGAAACAGCAGTGACAATAACATCACTCCTTCCTTTTGCCAAATTTCACCTGTGCTTTGAGTTTGACCAGGGGTGTGTGTGTGTGGTCTGGCCTGGAAATACAAGGTGTCTGAGCAAGCCAGCCACCTCTCATCTACCATTTAGAGGAGGGAGCCTTTCAAGATTCCAGACATGCAGAGTTACCTGCCTGTTGTCCTAAGCAGCCACAGGGTCTTTGCAGTCTTTCTGAGATACAATCTGGGCCATGTTCTCCATGGGTGCCAATAGAACTGGAACCCTTTTCTCCACTGGTGCCTATGCTACACAGACCGCCATTCGACCCTGGCAACATTTTCTTTTGGCACTCAATGAGTGCCTATTGCTTCCATTGACGCTTTCAAAACCTTGGCCATTCTTCTCAATGGATCCCTGGCAATTTGCTGCAGCGATCCCTGTGGAATCTGAGCAAAATAATCCCTTGATACCAGTGCAATTGACTGGTTGCGGCGTACGGGCAAACATCCAGTCCATTGAATCTTGGGAGATCCTATGGAACGGTTGAAATTTGCTCCGTTGCCAGTCCTGGAATCTGGGCAATTTCAGTTGTTTGGCACAGAAGCTCAGATGCAGACACAGACCTCCTGCATGCAAGGGCTTCTCGTTTTATCTCCAAGGAAGGGATGGCTCCATCTGTGCAAAACTAGGGATGGACTCTCAGAACTAGCCCCTCTATTGAAGCAAATGGGCAAGTCGCTATGCATGCATCGTAGTGAGCAAGAAGCTCTGGATGATATCAATTGTGTTTATTACTTTATAGGGTTTTGTTTTTGGTCCCATGCACCATCACAACTGGGAACAGATCTGAGATCCATCTGAAAGAAATAACTGTTGGTTTCATTCACAGTTCAGAATGAACTGCCAATTTTGCAGTGATTTAAAACTTCTTTGTGGCTTGGTGGAACATGAACCCAATCCAGATAGGAACATAGCCTTTATTCCATTTCCATGAGGTTTCCCTAACTTAATTTTCACATTATGTTTGAGCTTCAAAAGCCGCATCCAGGAATAGAACACAATGCTCCATCCACATGGCAGTCTATTCCATTTTCCTGATGTTTCCCTAACTGTTAATTTCTTCATTCCGCATGAGCTTCCATACAGTATGAGCTTTCAATTTCAGAAATATTGTGGAGTATAGTGTGACTTTGGTGCTCATTTCCCTGTTACTTACTTCCAGGAAAAAAAATCTATTTGCGAATAACATGGAAATGAGCATTAAACTTATTCTATATTCCTGGAAGTGGCTTTCACATCATGTGAAAGCTCAAATATAATTAACAGTTAGGGAAACATAATAAAAGCAGAATAAACTGTCGTGTGAATACAGTCTAAATCAGGGGTAGGCAACCTAAGGCCCGGGGGCCGGATCTGGCCCAATCACCTTCTCAATCTGGCCCGTGGTCGGTCCGGGAACCAGAGTGTTTTTACATGAGTAGAATGTGTCCTTTTATTTAAAATGCATCTCTGGGTTATTTGTGGGGCATAGGAATTCGTTCATTTTTTCCCTTCAAAATATAGTCCAGCCCCCCCCCCCCATGGTCTGAGGGGCGGTGGACTGGCCCACGGCTGAAAAAGGTTGCTGACCCCTGGTCTAAATGGACACATCCATTTGCTCATTTCTTTAAAAAACAAACAAGCGATTTATAGATATATATTGAAAAAAATACATTTCATACAACATCACGACATGAGCGAACAAAATCCAGAAAGAAGGAAAAGGAACTTTTGTACACAGTGGCCACGATCCAGTCATTATGCCTTTGCTTCTCTCGCCCCCAGGACTGGTCAAATGAGGCAACAGCCTTCTGGATCCCAGACAGTTTTGTTTCAACCCATGGTTGCTCTGCTAAGATGTGATGGCTACAATTACCATGAGGTAGTGTCCAACCCACCTCCATGCTGGCAGCAGGAGGTATCTGTTAGATGCTATGCAAGGATTTGCAAGCAGGTAACTTTCAGCCTGCGACAACCATCCCATTTGTAGTGGTGGTTTGGAGGTGGCAACTAGGAGACTTTGCAGTCAAGGCTCCTAAGTGATGACTACCCTTTTCCGGAAACCAAGAGAGCTCAATGCTAATCGGGACTTCCCTTTTCCCTTTGATGCCACTAGAAGACTGCATGGGGGCATGGAGTGTTTATGCTCAGCTCTCTCTGATACCAAAGGGAACTCATGCATTGTTCTCAACACAACTGGTGACCCACTGAGCCAAATGGGGCTTGATAAACCACCTGGCCAAACAAGGGAGGGACAAGGTTGTGGAGGACCTGATGGGCCACCATACATGGTCCAGTCCAGAGGTAGCAGCTAACCTGGTGCCCTTCACGGATGGTTGGACTACAATGCCCAATGGGCACAGCCAGCACAGCCAATGGCTAAGGATGATGGTCACTGTAGTCCATTAACGCCCAGAGGGCACCACTGCGGCTGTTCCTTGCTTAGCCAGCGGGCTGTGCTGGATATCTTGACACACAAGGTGTGCAAAGCTGTTTCTCCTGGAGCTTCTTCTCCATGCACACTGGAGCCAAGATGGCAGCTAACGTGTGTGTTGAAGCTGACAAACTGGTCCATGCATGGCATGAGATTAGGAACACAGGAAAATAGGATGCTGCCTTGAACTGGGTCAGACCATTGCTCCAGCTCCATCTTGCCCAGTGCTGTGTACACTGTGCGGCAGTGACTCTCCAGGATTTGAGGCAAGGGGTCCCTGCCAGCCCTACCAGGAGATGCTGGGGATCGAACCCGGGACGTTCTGCTTTCAAGGCAGATGCTCTACCACTGAGCTACGCTCCTTCCCCAATGTATGATGAAGGAGCAGATTGTGCTGCTCAACATGTACGGGCCAAGCTCTAGCTCAGGGATGGGGAGCCTATGGTCCTCTATATGTTCTAGATCAGGGATGTCCAACAGGTCGATCGCGATCTACTGGTAGATCCCTGCGAGGTTTTGGTAACTCGTGGGTCGATGTCTGGCTCCCTTTCCTCAGTGTCGTTGAAACTGACTCCTGTCCCACCACCTTGCTCCACCTTCCATTGTTGTCTGATCAGTGGAAGGGAAGATGGAGCTTTCTCTCTGTGGCTGTTTTCATTCAAAGAGATATTATTGTGAGTGACTTTTCCCCCTTTGACCCTTGCCTTTAACCCCCCCTCCCCCCAAAAACGGAACTTCCCTCCTAAGGAAGTATAAAAATGGGGCTTTCCTCCTCCCTAAAAGAAGCTCAACAACTTAGACCTGAACCCCCCAAAAGCAGGGGTAGATCATTGCCAGATTTTAATTCTGAAAGTAGATCACAGTCTCTCGGGAGTTGGCCAACCCTGTTCTAAGTGATCATCTGTATGTGGTTGGATTCCATCTCCCATCAAGCTCAGGCAGGTTGGGAACAATGGGAATTGCAGTCCATCAACATCCGCAGAGTCAGATTCCCCATCCCTCCCTGCTCCAGCTCATGGTCCACTTCTTCTTCTCCACCCAACCCCCACTGAAACACTCTATTTATTTTATTATTTAAAAACCCCGTTCATTTAAACGAAGGAGAAAGAACCAGCCCTTTCGTTGCAACTTTCTTGGCCTCAGCTTGCATTCATTAACAAAATAGCAACGTTCCCCCCCCCCTCTAATGGACACACACAGGCAAGCTCACACACTCACATTAAAAGATTAGAGAGGAACGGGAACATCTAAGACAGGCTCATACAATCCACGGAGGAACGATAAAAAGTCCAGAGGCCTTCATGCAATGCACAAAGTCTCCTGAGAATTGACATCATTGTTTTAATTCGGCTGAAGTAGCTATGTTTCGGTTGTGGCTCTGACTAGTAGGAGGGAGCGAGGAAGAAATTCCCCACTTCACTCGAACCTATATTGAAGGCATTAATGATTTCCTAAACAAACTAAACTCTCCCCTGGGGGGGGGGGGCAGGGAAGTTTCCCCACTTCCAAAGTCTATATTATTTCTTGGCCACAGCATTGGATCTTGGACCTTCTGTGACCCACCCAAATGGACCCCCCTGTTTTAGCTATGTAGAACCCACAAAAATTGCCTAGCCCTTTCAACGTGAACCCTGGCGCAGCAAAAACACCACACTTTGTGTGGCATACAACCAACTTGTGCCATCGGGGGTCACAACTACCAGTTACATCCTTATTTCTGTGGAAATGTATCAGTGGAAAAGGTTTTTCATGTAGTCCGGAGGAATTGACCTTCAAGGAATTCATGTAGACTTAATGTGGGGGATATATGTAGATAGATATTTTCCACATTTTTAGAAAAGAAGAAGCCCCCCCCCCCATCAATTTCAAAAATATAGCTCTATCTTAACTTGGACGACCCTTTTAGAAAATTCACAGCATAACATAAGCTTTCTAATACATTCCTGGAGGACGGAATACACCGGTTGGCTCCATTTTCGCTCGGCATGGCTTTTCCATCCATCGAGTGGCTGCTGTCCACATGGCGCAGTTCTGCAGAACCTCATTGGATACCTCACACTTGGGCAGCCTCTGGTGGGATCCACCACGACCATCATCTCATCGAGGCTGGTCGTGCATCCACTGAAGAATTTAGGCTACATTCTATGTCATGACAGAGGATGCAGAGACTAGCCCAAGACAGAAGGAGATGCATTGGAGATGAATATACATGGTTCATTCACAGGTATCAGCTTGGCACTCAAAATTCACAATGGGACAGAGGACAATCACCAAAAATGGCAGGCCAACAATGGAATTATTTGAAGCGTGCTGAGATGGTGGATGAGTTGAATGCCTTCTTTTTTTTTTTTTGGTCCAGATGATCTCAGTTGCATATTTACAATCCTCTCCAATGCCTTATCTTCCACCCCTCAGGGATGACGTCTCATGCTTCCAGAACAACTTTGTTTCTCTCCCTCTCTCTCTTTTTTAATAAAAGGGAGGTGGGTTTTTTTTTCTTTTAAAACAAAACACAGAGACAGACACAACCACCCCACACCACCAAAATTAATTATGACCTTTTTGTTGTTGATGTTGTTTTGTTTCCAAAATGAGCTTTTCTCTCTCTCCCCACCCCCTTTGGGGAGGGGAAGGAAGTTGGCTTATGCGCTCATGTCGCCAGGTTCTCCGCATTTATGCTCGACATTCGAATCTGTGAGCTGCTCTTGCTCAGAATGGACAACTGGGTCCCCCCGTTCACACCGCTGCTTGCTAGGGAGGGGTGGCGATGTTTGAAATCCACAGCAAAGTACCGGTTGACTTTCCAGCTCCTCCATTTCCTCTTTATTTCTGACTGCACCTTTAGGGAGAAACTTTAAAAGGTCATTTTTTAATGTACTTAGCCGCTTGGGAACATGCTGACAGAAGTTTCTATATTTTAAATTTTCTTTCAACAAAATGCAGAAGCGGTAAGAATTCAAGAAGAGCTCTGCGGCTGGATCCTATTCAATAATAATAATAATAATAATAATTTATTATTTGTACCCCGCCCATCTGGCTGGGTCTCCCCAGCCACTCTGGGCGGCTTCCAACAAAGATTAAAAAATACATTAAAATGTCACACATTAAAAACTTCCCTGAACAGGGCTGCCTTCAGAGGTCTTCTAAATGTCAGGTAGTTGTTTATCTCTTTGACATCTGATGGGAGGGCGTTCCACAGGGCGAGCGCCACTACCGATTCCAGCATCTTATGCTCACAGTGGGAAACCATATTTTCTTAAAATTAACTTTTATCATCATTGATCTATTACTTGCCTTCTAAACCACCATCTCAAGGCGATTTACGCGTAACAGAATTTAACACAAAATCAGCATATATGTGACTAGCAAGTCTTAAACTCTAACAAGTTAGACACTCGTGGTATAACCTCATTTACTCTCTTGGAACATGCATGTCTTCCATGGTTTCTGGAAAATGCAGATAGAGGGCACCTGACTTATCTCAAAAGGAACGTTATTCCACAGCACTGGGGCAGCCATATTAAAGGCGCTGCTCTGAGTTACTGTGGATCTTAAGTGTTACTGAGATCTTAAACCTTACAAGAAAAGCTCTCCTGCAGGCCACAGTGATCTACTGAATGGATAAGGCATAAGACAGTCTCCCAGGTGCTTACAGTTAGGATTTTTATCTATCCGAGCTGCTCCAGCGAGTGGTACTATGATTGTATACATCATGTTAGTGTCTGAGAGAGCGTGAGAAAGGAAGTCTGTATTATCTCTTCCTTCTGAGTACTATTGGAAATCTAGTTTCACTTCTATGTGTGTCGCTGGTTTTCTGTACTGGTGTTCAGAGAGCACAGACGCACTGATGGAGTCTCTGTATATAAGACTGTAAATAAAGTAGTTTTAGAACTACGATTGAGTCTTTCTTCTGCTATGATATGCCAGAAGACTGGCATGCTCTTTTCAGGAGAGAAGGGTCGCCTATTACCGGTCTCTCTGGACTGAGGGAAATTTATAGCCAGAGAGGACCGCTGGAGAGACACCCCAAGGACTTGGGAAGTTGGCAGCCATTCCCAGGCGTTTCCCCAACACTTACAAGGAGCCCAAAATCAGGATCTGAGGGCAACTGTGCTCTCTCCCCTTTGATTCCAAGAGACCTACTGTCTCCAACAAAAGCATCAGAAGGTGCTAAACGATGGTCAGGTCCCAATGAGTCCCATGCAACTTGCTACACACACTGTGGGCTTTGGGCGATCTCTCATTTTTCATTATTGCTTCATACATTGCAATGGATGATGCCTCTCCAGAGGGCCACTCAAGCTTGGTGTGTGCAGAGAGAAGAGAGGTCAGAGCCCACCGGGGGTAGATTAGGCAGTGAATGGTTGTAGAGACCCAGAATGGAAGGGGAAGATGCAAGCAGGAACCAGGCTATGCATTTGGAGAAGGAAGGAGGAAAAAGTTTGTAGACATCTGTCATGGATGCTTCAGTCAAGATTCTTGCATTGCTGGGGGTAGGGTGAAGGTTGACCTAGATGACGCTCAGTGTGATGGCCTGGGACTCGGGCTCGGACTCAGAACCAGAGGAGTCTCATTCCGCACCGGATCCTTTGCCTCAGGCGGCAGCTGAACCAAGTCTGGGACCTGATTCTAAAGAGCCCCAGTCTGCACAGGTTCCCCTGCAACAAACACCAGCTGGGCCGAGTCAGGGGCCTGAGCCTGCCCTAGTTTCAGATGCGGGGATTACCTCGTTGCCTTCAGCTGGGCCATCACTTACAGCTGCTCCACTACCAGTTTGGTCAGGGGAGGCTGAGGCGACCCCTAGGTCTAGTAACCCACGGATGTCTCCCAAGCTGCAGAGACTTAGGTCTGAGAGAAGGAGAGACCTGAGTACTCGCAGGAGGAGTGCTTGCCTCCAGGCGAGACAGGGAGGTGAGTCATCGGGGGATCAGGACTGGCCGTTACCCCGACATGGATAAAAGGCTGTCGGACCCCGCCTCAGATTGCAGGAGCAACATTGCTGTTTGCTAGAACCTGGCTGTGACCCTGTGTCTGACCTAGCTTGGTTTCCTGCCTTGGCCCTGTCGGACTGACTCCTCACAGAACCCTTGGATTCGGGACCGGACCTGGACCGCGTTACTCGGGTTACCCCCAGGTCCAGCACACTCAGGATCCTTTCCAACTCTACAATTCTATGAAAAGTCTTACCTCCCCATTCAAGAAGCAGTAGAGTACAGCGACCACAAAGCCCTGTGGGGAAGAGGAGAGGAACAGGCAGCTGTTCAGATTGTGGGATATGATACATAAGTAGCAGTCAAGTACAACATTCCTTGTTTTCCTAGAGTGGACATGCAAGGGGATGTTTGGACCAGCCAGTCGAAAA